GAATATAAGGCCATCATTTCTTAACTTCTCACAAACTATTTGGGATCAAATCTGTCGAAGGAAATCACCTTCAAGTTTACCATCAGTAGCAAATAACTTGGCTCTTGAATATTCTTCTGTGAGTTTACTTTCCCCACTCTCGGACTTGGAGTTAAAGTTATGGTATTAAACATTTTTCACTTTTAACTCTAGATGATAAATTCTTTTACACCATTAAATGATATTCAAGATGCATAGTGTAATAACTTTTCCAAGATTACGGGATTGACGAATCGAGATAAAGACAAATTTTGTCAAACTCAAATTATTTTCCGAAATTTGTAAGTATACCTATTGTAAATTATAATTAATGTAACACTTAATGAAATAACAACTTTCTCTTATAGCTTATTTCTAAGTTCAAAAATTGTGAATACCAATAATGAGGACACCTTTGTACATGAAACGTTGCATGACCTACTTAAAGAGATTTTCCGTGATTCAACTTTCGAGTTAATTTGGTAAGAATTTGTATTTGTGATTTTGCCGATTTAAATCTTATAATTAATGCATAAGTTAAAAAAGGGCGAATAGCGAAAGTCTTGTTTCCAAAAATCGACGCTCCAACAGTTCGGACAAGGAAAATTACAGAGGTGAAAAGCCTGACTTTAAAGTTGTAACCAATACAAAAGAAGAAATTCTTTTTGGCGAGGTTAAGACAAAAGATTCGCGTTCTTTATTGATTAATAAAGATCTCATAAAATTGTCCAATTTCCAATCGGGTGCCTTAGACGAGTTAATTAAAAAATATAGCAACAAGATTGGTTTAGCTTCATTTGGTATATAGGTCAGTGGTAAGTTGTTAAATTGATAATGCATATACTAATATATGATGGCATTTGTTAATATATACTTGATTAAATTTATAGGTCCACGTATTCGGATCTACGAAATGGATCTAAACTACGATGGGATGTATAGAATGTTTTTGATGGCGAATGTTGTGACCCCAATAGAACGGGCACAATTTTTAAGTCTGATACCAGTATTAGAAGCATTGTATAATATTAAAGTAAGCGATAGGTAGTGGTTTTTGGTTATTAGTTTTAGCCATCAAACCATTTAACACTTTATAATTTTTGAAGAATCGTATTTCTGAAGTATTAGAGGTAATCGTTTCCGACACCCCAGCTAGTTCACCACGTTCTACTTACATCAGAATGCCCACCCCTCCACCAAAATTAGTAAAGATTGCTATCGTTGGTCTATCGTCAAATTAACTTTCATCCTATTTACACATGGTGATAAGAAAAGTTATATGTAGATGATTTATCAATATGTATATTGAGTTTTGCCTGAAATGAAATTGAGTGTATAATAAAGCATGTTTCAAAATTTGATGAGATCAGATACTTGTATGAGATCAAAACTGTTTAAATGATCTGATTTGAGGCAAAGTATAAATTTTATGTCGTGATATTTACTAAAGATTAATATGCAAAATTCTCACGTCATAATAAAATCGATGCCAATATTTTTATTCGTAATTTTGAAATTTTTGACGACGGCCCGTCGTTGAAATTTTCATTGCTTTGGTTATACATTTTAAATAAATAATAAGATATATACAATCTATTACTAAAACATGCAATCTGAGATTGATTCATTAAGACAACGAATTTCTGAGCTTGAAGCCGAAAAGGCTGAGCTCGAAGCTAAGAATGCCGAGCTTTTAAAACAGGTTATGGAAGAGAATACCAGGCGAGAAACTGAGAATGTTGAGCTCAAAGCCAGAATCACCAAATTGGAACAGACCGCAGAAGAAAATACTGAGCTTAAAGATAGAATCACGAAATTGGAACGGAAACAGATGCAGGTTATTACTAATTATCAGGAGCCATCTCCTACAAAAGATATTTCACCACTTATCAAGAGCCATTCTGATGAGGAGAAAGGTATTACTCCCAATCCCTTGCCTAAAATAGAATAAATCTCAACCCAGGCCCAAAGGGGCGAATCTTTAGATTCATCTGAATCTTCAACGGAGCCTGAAACATCTACAACCTCTTTACCACAAGATATTATCAATGATGATTCAGCCGAGATCCTAGATTTTGTAAAAACGATACATAAGAAAAGGATTAGTAGTAAGATAAAAAAGAGGACCGGGAAAAAAAAACTTCAAGAATCACATAATAACTTAATACCACCAATACAATCCGAAACATCAACCATGTCGACACCTGAATCTCTGGAATTGAAACCTGTGAAAGAGCTTTGGGATCAGAATTAAAATAAAAACCAGAACAAATCGCACAAGAAAAAGGAAACCGAGAATATCACTCAAGTGATAGCTGATGGTATTCAAGATGATAATCTTTTAAATTCAAATCATGTGACAGAAATTTCAGCGACAGCTCTTCACCAAAATTCTTCTGTCTTATTACTTGATTTAGCACAATTATTTGATAAGGCAGCTGATGCTGAATATAGCACCATAAAAGCTAACCAAGAAGAAACTTTATGCTGGACTAATTATGGAAAAGAATTTATAATTCAGCATAATGATCTTGTGAAAAATAGTAATGGAAAAATTGGCGAGAAAAAGGCAAAGGGTATAATATATGATAAAATATTGGAACACCTTAATATCATCCGTGAAAGAAGGTCCAAGGAAATGGGATTACAGCTCCCAGAAATTTCACGTAAAACTTTATGCAAAAAGACCCAAAAGGCCGTAAGGACTTATAAATTATTTGACAAAATAGGTATAGATAAAATTAAGTATCTTAAAGCATATAGCGCAAATTCTATTTCAGAATTGACCAACGAACAAATTCAAAAGATAATTGATAGTATTTCTAATCATGAGTCTAATATAGGAAATCACATGACTGAAATTTCAACGACGGCCCATCGCCAAAATCATACAACCGAAATTGTGAGTACTTTACCAGAAACTGAGGTAAGTGCATTTTCTGAGAAGTTATCACCGGAAAAATCATCAGAAACGATTTCAGAGGAATTAACCGAGGCAAGCGCATCATCCAATCCAACCCATGACCATACTTACTTTCGTAATAAGATATTGTGGAGATATTCTGATCTATATAAAGAATTTAGTAGTGAAAAAT